CTGCCCCGGCAGGCCACTGAGCTGCCCCGATGCAGTCCTCGTTATTGGTACGGGCTGGGGGGTGATATGACGGAGAGCAGCCCTGCGGAAAGGGACCTGGAGAGACTAGTGGATGAAAAGCTGGACGTAAGCCAACAGGGCGCCCAGGAGGCTATGCATGTACCGGGCTGTATTGAGTGTAGCCAGCGGATGGAGGGAGGTGATTCTGTCCTTCTACTGTGCTCCGGTGAGACCTCACCTGGAGTACTGTGTGCTGCTCTGGAGTCCTCAGCACAGGAAAAACATAGACCTGTTAGAAAGGGTCCAGAGGACGGCCACAAAAAATGATCAGAGGGTTGGAGCACCTCTCCTGCAAGGCCAGGCTGAGAGAGCTGGAGTTGTTCAGTCTGGAGAAGAGAAGGTTCAGGGAGACCTTATGGTGTCCTTGCACTACCTGAAGGGCCCTACAGGAAAGCTGGGGAAGGACTGTTTACAAGGGCACTCAGCAACAGGATGAGGAGCAGTGCTTTTAAACTTGAGCAGGGTAGATTTAGATTAGACATTAGGAGGAAGGACTTTACTCTGAAGGTAGTGAAACACTGGAACAGGCTGTGAGGAGAGGTGGTGGAGGCCCCATCCCTGAAGACATTCAAGCTCAGGCTTGAGGCTCTGAGCAGCTTGATCTGGTTAGAGATGTCCCTGCTTGTTGCAGGGGCTTGAACTAGATGGCCTTTTAAGGTCTCTTCCAACTCAAAGAATTCTATGACATGAATCCCCTGCTTTGGGGCACTTGGACTTTCGGGGAGCCACTGCGCCCGAAAGGCAGGAGCCTGGGAAATGCACTGTCTGCAAGGCTCCGTTCAGCTTTCTCCTCACATTCCTGTTTGCCTGTTTTCCTTTGATTAGAAGGCATAATGACAACTGGTTTTGGAAGTACTTTAAATGTTGAAGAAACGACATCAAAAACCTTCCAAAGTTTCAGTGCACTGATTGCTTCTTACCTGTAAATACTTGTTGTAATCAAATATGTTCAGCTACCGTGCTGCTGGGGGGGCGTTCTCACAGTCCTTCATGAGTGAAAAATCTGCCTCTGAGATGTACAAAGAGCTCAAATTATAAAAGGGATTTTTACTGAGTCCACATTTAAAAAAAAGTTGTATTTTCTATGTTAATATACAAAGGACTGAAAACTAGGCTTGTCAGTAGTAGTAAACTTTACCAGTGATTTGTGCAACTTGACTTTGCAATTAAAAGGCATATAACCAGCTGAATAGTGCACATAAGGAAGTGTAAAAACTGTAATGTGAAATCATTGCTCTTTGGAGCTATATATGTCTATTTACATTTATTTTATTACAAGCGTTTTGAGGTGAAAACTCATGTAAATCCTTTATCACTATTGTAGTGAAGTTTATGGATTAGTCACATCAACAACATTTAACATGTGTAATATTTGTACCATTAAGGTACTTATTAAAAATGTGGTTCTATGCATTTTGTATATTCTGGATGATTCTTTTGTGTCAACTTTGATAATAGTGATGGTAGTTGTGGAATGTAATTTTCCACAGAAAATATTTTCTAATGACCTGTGGTTTAAAATTCTGCATATGAACTTATAGCTATGTTTTATATGTATGCAAAGTTGCAGTATAGCCATAAATGAATTGACTGAAGAGTTGTGGGTTGAGAAAATAAAAATGTTTGTCTACTTGATTTTTGTTTTGTTTTTTAGGTGGTGAAAAAAGCAGACATGATCAACAAGAACATGGTTCACCAGGTCCAGGCAGAGAGGGATGCATTGGCTCTTAGTAAAAGTCCTTTCATTGTGCACTTATACTACTCACTTCAGTCAGCTAATAACATCTATTTAGTAAGTAAATAAATGGCTGTGCTGTTTTATGATAGTCTTGAAAATGGAATGTGGAATTATATTCATGTTTGAAAATGTATTTATGGTAGCAAATGGGTATTCTCTGGTCCCTTTTACTTTATTACTTGCAGAATGATTGAGCAAGTGAAATATTTCTCTTTTCTGGTACCTTTGAGATCTTTCCACCTGTGTTCCCTTTTTTTAAAGAAGAGTCTCTTCTAATAGCTAATCTGTTTTAGGAATATGTAGAAATCTTGGGGAAAACAAAACAGGAGACCATTCTGTTCAATAGAATCCAGGCGATGGAGAGAAACCCTGTGCTTCACTTAAAGGAAATCAGTTTTACTTGTTGCCTGTGTTCAAAATCCATTGTGGTAGTTGGCCTAGATGACAAGAGGATAACTGGCTGGTAAAACGAAGTGCAAGTCTACTGTACTCCACAGTGCTCCATGTAGGACTTGAATATGGTTTTGTATACCGCCTCCATGTGGAGGTAGTATGGATTAAGACTGTCTACAGAGGGTCTAGTGTAATTTTTCTGGTTTGCTGTAAGTACAGACAGTGAGCAGCTTGATTAAATTCTGAGACGTGGTCACTGCCTCCACCTGCTCAATGCATTTTGAGTGTAAATGATTCTCCTGAAATCTCTGGTAACTGCTCTGTGAGGCAGAGCAAGTCAGAGTGTGTTTATGAAACTTCGCTCACTTTTCCTTTATCTTGAATATGACATGGGCCATAATGGGTGGGTTTGCATAATCTGTATTTTTTAAAAACTCTTTTTTGTGTCTTAGTGCACAGTAGCCTTTACTACATACATTTCTGGAAATCTGTGGTTATTTCACAAGGCTCAGGTCTGAATTTAGTATTGTATATAAACATTTGCAAAATAAAATCATTGAGGTATATGTTCTGCAGAAATCAAAATATCAGTTGTCTTTGGCTTCAGACCTTGAGTTTCACAGAAGTGCTATGCTGTTTCTTTTCTATAATACAGAAATCTTTCAGAAGCTCCTTAGAAAGCCAACTGCAGTAGTTATTGCAGAGATGACTACAGAAAGTAGGCCGGGCAAATAACACAAATAAATGGTTTATTAAAAGAAAATGTTCCATATCCTCTGAAGCTTTAACTATTTTATTGAAGTGAGAAGTATTCTGCAGAAAATTCAGTTCACACAAGGAATCTTCCATGAGCTTCTGCTCTTTGAAATTGTTTTTCTAGGAGTGAAAGCTGGTTTATATTTTGCTTGTGAATTTGAAGTGTGTTTTAAAATATTGAATTTAAAACACTTGAATGGCAGGTGATGGAGTACCTTATTGGTGGAGATGTCAAATCACTTCTTCATATTTATGGATATTTTGATGAAGAAATGGCTGTGAAGTACATTTCTGAAGCAGCATTGGCTCTTGACTATCTTCACAGGCATGGGATAATCCACAGGTAAAACTTTTTTTTTTAATTACAAATAAGTATTTTGTTTGGCTTTTTAATTTTTCACTGAAAGGCATAACTGGCCATCATTTCATAGTAACAGCCACCTCATTTGCTAGAGCTTCTGGAAGGTCTTTTTGCCTGTGTGCACTGCAGCAAAACAACAGCTAAAATAAAATCTACTGGTAATGTTATGCAGGCAGATACCTGCTGCTTTCTCCTGCCTGTGTGCTCTTCTCCCACTGCCATGGTGTGCTAGAAGGAAGAAGGTTCCTTCTTCTTGTGGCTTTTAAATGACTGTTAGTTCAGGAACACTCAGGATAGCCCAAGCACCTAACTGTAGGACAGAGGGGCATTGACTACTCTCAATGCTCCCCCTGTAGTGAGAGTTCTTTGCTGCATTCCATAGTACTGCAGAGAACACATTAAAACTTACTAGAGGTTTGCTTTCATGTGCACTGTGACATGTAGGAACTACACATTTACTGATGTTGCAATTGGTAGTACTTGTGAGGAACACCATTAAACCTGCTGAAACACAATGTGTTTCACACTTGTGTGTCCCTCATGTGACACACATGGTGGTTTTACAAGGCCTGAGACATCTGTAAAATGCTTAATGCTAGATACGCTTAATTGGTTTTGTGTATTTCTCCATCTGAAATCTTCTAAGAGTTGTTTCTCAGAAACAGCTGTAATCAGTGTTTTGTGTTTAGTGTTTTTGGTGTTTTTGTTAACTACTTCATGAGGGTTGCTCAGTTGTCTTTTTGCTTACTTCAACTATATTCATCCCTTCAGGGATCTGAAGCCAGACAATATGCTCATTTCTAATCAGGGCCATATAAAGTTGACAGACTTTGGACTTTCCAGAGTTACTCTGAACAGAGGTAAGAGTTGTCTCTATACTTTTGGTTGTATTAGAACATATTTCTGTGTCATGTTCCCATATTTGTGAATGCTTTACATACCCACAGAGAGCAGTTTTCAATTAAGCCTAAATGTTTCACTAATATCTAAGTTATAGCAGGTAAGTACTGATTAGGCACATGCTAGTAAAGAATCTGCTCTTTGCATTGCACTTGACAAACTAAAATATTTATTCTTTGGGACAAGGGTGTATGGAATATGATCTAGACCCATTTCCCTTGAGAGGCATAGATTTAAAAGTTTTCTATGAAGTCCACTAGGAGCTTGAAAGGTGAATGAATAATTCTTGGTATACCTCTGGCTATTTCTCTTTTTTCAGTGCATGTTCCTCAATGTCCTTGAATATATTAATTTTCATCCTGAACATTCCAGACATTAATGTAAGGGACAGGGGGAGGTGGTGAGTCCCTGACAGAAGCTTAGAAATCAGTGCTTTAGTATAGGAGCATTCTGTTTTCAAGTAGCAGAAAACAGTGCTGAATAGTCCAATGGCTGCCTGGCAGTAGGCTGTGCAGGTCTTAAGGTGAGTAGTCAGTTCTTGAACTGGTTCACATCTCCAAGCCCTTAGCCTTAACAGCCAAGCTAATGCTGCCGAGCACCGCTTTAGTGTTTTGGGGTGGCTGCTGGTGGGTATGTCCTTTTTGTCTAGTTAAAGGAATGTAGAAATTCAGAGTTTTCTATGGAGTTCCTAATCCACAGTTTTAGGAGCGTAATGGGAAATCCTAAGTATACTGTATTTTCTGCAATATACTGCTTTAATTGGTAATTTCTGATGATTTGTGTCTAGTTGAACATGATATGTAAAAAATGGCATCTAAGGTTAAATTTTCACCTCTGAAAAACTTGTAGCTTTTTTGAGATTCTTTTGTGAATAGAGGTAAGCTTTGAATCAAATTTACCATCTTAGCTCACAGGCCTTAGGCTGGAATTGCTACCTAAAACCCAAAGCTGGTTGTCAAGTTAGAAAGCATAACACTTCCAACATAGTATATTGGAAAAGAAATTGGACTTTTACAGTTTCTTTACTTATAAACTGTAATTCCATGATGGATGCACAGGAAGAAAGAGCTTTCGTTGAAAAGAGAGAGCTTTTGGATAGGTATTTCTTCACTTGAGTTTCATGGCTTCTTTTAGTCGTATACTGAATAAATATACAAATGTTTTCTCCTCTTGATAAAATTTAAGTAAATGGCTGTAACTTTGGTTATTGAATAGTAAAAGGAAAACAGACCTGCTTCATATTTTTGTCTGTTTGTAGAGATAAATATGATAGATATCCTTACTACACCATCAATGGCAAAGCCAAAGCAAGGCTACTCGCGTACTCCAGGACAACTGTTGTCACTCATCAGTTCCCTGGGTTTTGTAAGTAATTTTCACTGTCTTTGAAGTATTTAATTATTTTACTTTACTTACTGTATTAAATATAATAATGGGAGTGGTAAGGCTACTCTTCCACCTCTTCTGTCAGCTGATAGACAGACTTAGTATGTTTACACTACCTGGAAGTTCTGAAGTGATTACCTCAGACTATATTTCAAATTACTGGCTATCAGTTGTGATTCAAGAAATTGAGTAAATGGGCATGGCGAAGTTGCAGTACAAAGGCAATAAAGAGCGTGTGAAGTTACACTCTCAACCCTGGATGTTTTGTTTAGGCTTCATTAACTTTTTTAACCATGATTGTTCCTGCTTGATAGTATACCCCTGCTGGAATGAAGGTGCCAGAGCGCAGTTCCAGTCAGTCAGCTGACAGTCTGCATGGAGTCCTTTCTCCCTTGCCTGTAGTCCAAAAGGAAAATACCCTTCTTTCAAAGAAATTATTCAAAACATGTGAGTATACTAAGCCTTGAACTGAGTAATGGTCTGGCTGTAGTGATGTTGTGATCTCTTAATTTTATGTGAGTAGGTTGGACCCACTTCATAAAGGTGTGTGTCCATCAGTGTCTTACTGTTTACTGTTCCTCCAGTACTTAAGGTCTGGTGTTTTTTCACCTACACTACGTATGCTGTCTTTTGATATTTCTCAAATATGTAGCCAACTGAATTAAAAACAGGCCATTAAGATTTTACAGCAATAGTGTAAGTTCTTGGCATACTTTCACTAAATGATTTAACATAGCAATGTGTGCTTTGATTTAAATTCTCTTATCTTGCTGCTTTCTCGTTTCTAACCTAAAGTGAGAAAGAAGGCTCTTATGGTGATAATGTTCGTATTGCTTTTAAATTCTTACCAAGTCCCCACTTCAAAAAAATGAGTGAATTGACTGTGTGAGGAAGATGACAAGAGGAATTATGTCATGTGTTGCTTTCCATAGCTTTCTCTAATTTGAAAGCTTGACATAGTGTGAAGCCTGTTAGTACATGTTGCCTATTTCTATTAAGGTTTGATTTTTCTTTTTTCTTTTCTTTCAAGATCTTGATAATTCTCAATTAGCTCCTGTGACACCAGTGAGAAGTTTAACTCCTACTGTACTTCAGTCAGGCAGAAGGTTTGATACCTCCAGTGCTAGCAGTCAGTTGCACACATACTTTTCCAGTATGGAATCGGAATGCTGCAGCAGTCCCAGGTGGGAGAAGGACGTAGAGGTCAGGACTGTTTTATTTTTCCACTATAAATTAAAATTAGCTTGTACTTGTATATACATGGTTGCAGATCTCCTCTACTTACTTCCCCCAGTTATTTCAAGTATAGAGAAGCCTTCCTAAAGAAGAAGGAATAGGGGTTGTAATCCTTGCTGAGTAGGAGTTTTGGATCATAGTATTATTTTTTCAAGTAAATAGTAGTCCTGTGCAACATAACAGGAGAAGTGAATGCCATTTAGCTTGCAGCAGAGGAGAGGAAAAGGAGGCTTCTACTGAACAGCACTTGTTTAGCCCTGTTCTTCACAAGGTGGGTAGTGCTGGAAGCACTATTTGGAGAGCTATTTGGAAGCTGACCTTATCCCTGTGCATTTATTAGCTCAGCATGCAGACAGAACATTTCTTTAAAAACAGAACTTGGGAAAAAGAATAAACTTTTTTCATTTTTTAATAGCTAGTTGAAGTTTGAAGTGTAGAGTTTATATTACTGAAGGTTTTTGCACCTACTAACCTAACACCAGTAACTACAGCTGATACAAAATACTTTCATTAATAGTTTAACATAGGGGAAATTCTGGACAAATACAGACCTAAAAGAAAATGCTGCTGTGCTATTTGGTCTCTTGCCACAATTCTTATTTAGATCACACACAAGATTTATGTTTAAAGCAATTTGATTGTTTCATCTGTCCATTTCCCAGTATTGTGTTACCAAAGTAGGAATAATATGACAAAAGTAAAATTTGAGGTATAATATGTCTCTGGGTACTATGAAGGGGTTCTTTTGGTTTGGGTTTCCTGGAAACTGAGAACTTACCTAGTTTAATTTAAGAAATACAACTTTAATTGCTATATTTCTTCATCCTTAGGCATTTTAAATTACTCCATTTTTTATTATATTCTAGCAAGCTTATTTTACGTTCTATAAAGTCAAGTTATCCCTGACTTAGTTTTGAGTTTTTTTGAACATGTTATGTCACATTTGTCACTACTAGTGGTTATAATGTGAAGGTAATGCTTACAAATTTGCAGTTCTTTAAAAGACCTTATTTCCACTTTCATAAAGGACGTATTTCTATAATGCTGTAATCCTCTTTTTCTTGATACTCAAGTCTTAATCTGCTCATTTACAGCAAAGTGAAGATGAACCATGTTCTCCAACAGGCAAAACAAGTAACAGAGGGTCAACTCCCCTTTCAAATGGAGAATTTTCAGAGAGCAAAGGTATTACTGTTTTCAAGAAAAAAGAACTAGAGTCTATTTCTCCCTTCAGCAGCAACGATTCTGGCAGTAGGCAGAAGCTGGGGAGTGAACATACTGATATAACCGATACTCCTGTGACCACACTGGATGCAAAAAGCATAGTCAGAAAATGTGTTTTTGAAAATAAGATTTTGGAAGAAAACATCTTTGAAAGTAAAAAAGAGATGACTAATGGAACAGCAGAAACTGCCAGTCATCCTCAGTCACCTTCTGAGCCTGTCAAGTGTATCAAAGAGAGAGAAATTTTTGAGAAGCCTGGTGTAAAAAGAAGCTTTGAATTAGTTGACACTAGTCCCTGTCAGGAACTTCACTATGTTAAAAAAAGCAATGCAGAATATAAACGTGGCTGTCAGATCTCAGAATTTCCAGCAAACAAAAGGACAGGTTTGACAACAGAAATTCAATCCTTAATGCTTTGTGGTGATGGATGCCTACATGGCACCTGCAAAAGCAAGGAAGAACTTAAGAATTCTATTGGTAACCAGCAAACAGTAGAAAAATCACTTGCTCCAATTATAGCCAAAAATCTTATGTGTGACCTGGATGCAGACTGTGAAAGAGATGATAAAAAAGAGTACATGAACTCGAGTCTTTTAGGCACTGATGATGAAAAACCTTTAGGAATCCTCAGTGTGGATTCTGATGTATTTCTTGACATGTCTGTTACAGAAAGCCATTTAGAAAAGCAGCTTTTAGACTTGGACAAAAGTGTTAAAGATCTCTCATTTGAGGAAGCAAAACCAGAAGGCACACTAATAACGTCACCGGAGTCCCAGGGTGCCTTGCAAATTGGAGAGGAAGCACGTAGTGTCCAGGACTCTGAGGTGTTGCATCCTGTAAAGGATAATGAACAGAAACATGTGAAAGAAACTCACCTTGACACAGTATCTTCTTCAGAACAATTGATCCAAGCACTGAATGTCTCCAAGAAAAATGCCGTTGTTTTTCGAAGTTATAATAGTCCAATTAATATATCCAACGTATCTGAGCCATGTAGCATGACTTCCTTGGATATAATGGATCTTTCACCTGCTTGTAGTGGCTCTTACCCAACAGCTATTACTCCATTACAGAAAGGAAGACCATACAGGGCCTATCAGGTATGTAAGGAGACACGCAGAAACTTTGTGCATGTGTTGGACATCAGTGATCTGAAATTATTTCAGTTGTTAATTTAGGAGAGATTGAAGTAGTTTGTAGTCTGTCAAAGTGACCTTTCCTGACAGGCTTTCACTTATTGCACTTGTATGGTCCAAGCTGCCATTTCTGTAATAGCTTAGCAATAATTGCATGTCCACGGGTTTGCCTCTGGCTCAACGTGCGTCCTCTGTCCAACTCTCTGAGTAACCCTTGCGCCCTTCCGGCACGCAGGTAGGGACAGCCCCTGCTCTCTTCTCTGGCCTCTTTCTAGTGCAGTGTGATACTTCCCCAGAGCAATTACAGGTTTCCTGACTTAATGAGAAGTGTTTGAGGTGTGTTTTTGTTTTTTTTTTTTTGTTACTCTTTTTTAAATTCTGCATCCTTCCCAAGATGGTCTGCAAATGCTGTTCATCTACCAGTAACTGCTTTTGTGCTTGCTGTTTTCTTTCTTTTTTTTATCCCTGTAAAAGCAACAGTGTAATGTGTGCTGTCAAGTACCAATTACAAGCCTGTTACAAAGACTGATGTAAATAGTAACAGCAGCTTGCAGATTATGAAGGTTTTTGCTTTGACCTTGCTAACCCATCTGATAGTAAGTTAAAATCTTACTGGCCTAAAGTAAATTAGAGCCTCCAAGTGGGAGAAGTAAAAGTATACTTTTCAATCAGCGCTTCCATTTTCATTTGAGCGTAGCTTTACAGGACCTTCATCTGGTTACATAAGTTCTAGTAGAAGGTTTTAAAGCTTTCTGACAGAACTGGTGGTGTGTTGGATGATTTGGCCTACATACCAAAAGGAGCTGTTCAAAATGTTACTTTTGGGGACACCTTTTTTCTGATGTCTGTCTGAATTGCTAGCTTCTATTTCATCTGCATCAAATTTGAACTGACTATGAAACTTAGCTTGCATTCAGCTGAAATGGAGTCAGGATAGGATGTGCTTCATCTCATGAGAAATAAACGACTGGTGACATTACATGTTTTTGTAACTTAGATTTGAACAGGTAGGTACCTTTTTTGTATGTTTTTGTGATTCTTTTTAAAATCACACCGTTGCAGTCTGATTACCTGTTTTCTATTCTAATAGTGATTTCTGTAGCTTTTGTGGCATAGTGATAACTAATCTCTGATGCACTGAAGCTGGAAACCAAATTGTACCAGATATATGGGAATTAAGGATATACTGAAAAATAAACAGTCTGCAAAGTACTTTAGTAGTATCTCCAGGTCATAACAGGAAATCTTTTGTTGTAGTCAGCCTATTGGCTGTGAGGATTTATTGATTTCTTTGTAAGCTTGCGTATTTTTTCTTCAAACAATATACCAAATTATGTTCAGAAGGTTTATGTGGCTGTAGATAGTCACAAATTATAACTTGAGCAGAACTTCATATGCATTCATAGGCATTGTGCAACCTGTGTGATGCAAGTTAAGCAATATAGGACTCATTTGATATTGCATACCACGCATACTCAAAATATATGTAAGAAGTCAAGATTCTCTTGTTTTACAGGTATTTGACATATGTGCTTACTTCTCATTGACGAATATTAAGAACTCAGCTAAAATTGAAGGCTATTTTGACATTCCATTTAGTAGGTTATCTTCTTCAGATTTGAATTTGAAAGAGGAGTTAAAGATTGGTTGGGGTTGGGTTTGGTGTGGTGGCTTGGGGTTATTTTGAGATATTACTTGTGGATTTGATCCTGGAGGAAGAAGTTAAGGGAAAATTTTTCTTACAGTATGTAATGGTTAATCTTTTATAGCTCAAGATGGTTGAGGGGAAGAGATGGAAGCACATTTTACACACTTTTTTAGGCAATGTACATTTTGTGACATGTTCTTGACTTGAAGTGTCAGCTGTTATATCCATTGCTAAACCTGGAGATGAGAGTTTCTCCTCTGGCTCTGTTTGACATCTGACATCTTTGTTGCTGCTTCTAAGACACCTCGTCAGGGAGATGCTGGCACACCATATAGGACTCCAAAGAGTGTGAGAAGAGGAGCTGCCCCAGCAGAAGGTGAACGCATCCTAGGAACCCCAGACTACCTGGCACCTGAGCTGCTTTTGACAAAGCCTCATGGTAAGACAAACTGTGGAGTCTGTAAATACTTGAAAGGTGACTTTTACATCTCTAAATGTCTCCAGAGCTCTCAACTCTTCAAGTAGCACAGCAGTGAATGCTCTAAGAATCCCTAGCTTTAGCTTTTGCCCGTGTGGATCGCTGTGTTTGCGTCAGCAGTTACCTTTCTCCTGGGACCAGAGGCTTTGACTGTCCCACACAGCCTTGCCTGCTTTGAGTCTAGTGCTTTGGGCAGCCTGCAACTCGTGGGTCTTAGTTATCACAGCTTGGTCATACTGACAGTCCTTAAAGATTCTTCAGAGTGGGGAGGGGGTCAAAATATTAGTGGAACTTAGTATGAAAGGATTAAGCCTCCAGTTTTTCTTGGAATGTGTTCCATGTTTATGGATATTAGTTCTATATACGTCCAGACAATTTTATAATGTTGCATTAAAATCTGTTATTGAGTTGAGTGACCTCGTGAAACACTTCAGATTTCTGTCAGGATCTTCCATATAAGTGGACAGTAGCAACCATCAGAATTATTTTTTTTTGCAAATTACTGTAAAAAGATAAAATAGCACAACTTTGAAGCATATGCATTTCTTTGGCTCAAGTCCTGAGCTCTGCTGAGATCAACAAAAAGTCTGAAATATTCTCCTGCTAACTTGCAAGAACCAATAACAAAAATAAATGCAATGTTTCCCTGATGCAATTATAAATACAACAAATATATTTCCATCTCAAAAGTATACTTTTATTTTGGAGAGCTAATAGTCTTAAGAATATTATGCAAGATCTTCATTGAGAAATAGCAATCGCTAACATGTGGAAGCATAAAATTCTGCTGTGTGCAGCCAATACACATTAACTTAAACTGCGTGGAGATTAACAGTTTAAAGACTAAAATTACTAAGCCTGTGTAGTTGTTTTGCACTTCTGTTTAGGAATCCTGGTTATTTGGCAGGCATTAAAACTAGGTAATAGTTTGGAAATGTCATCAGTGCTACTTAGACAATGTGGAAGTTGAGTGTTTTCAGGACCTCAGCAATAATTTGCAAAGGGACTTATCCTGGGAAATGTCATATCTCCAGTTACCTTCATCAAAGCCAGAGGTTTCCTGTCTTTGGAACTCAAAACTTTCTCTCACTAAATATTTCTGGTGGTGTTGACTTGCTTGTAAATGTAGTTGTAAGCCTTAACTATAATCATGTTACAAAACTATTTTTTGTTTCTAACTTAGACTTAGCATTGCTATCTTTCATTATTGTTGAGTTACTACCTTAAGAAAAAAAAAATCTGCATTCCTATACCTTCAGAGAATCCTATTTGATGTTGGTATTTCTTAGAGTTTTTTGCAATAATTGTAATGTTCTTGCTTCATTGTCTTTTCATATGCAGGGAATCTGATTTCTGGTGAGTTTGCTAAATACTGTGTGGAAATGGAGTGTTCAGCATAACTGGGAACAGTCAAAGTATAACTAGATCACCATTTCCAAGAAAATGGTTTGGCTGAAAAGTTTTTGTAGAAAGAGATGTCCAATATGCCCTCCATATAAGAATGTGTTATGCTTCCACAGAAGATTCAGGGAATGTCAATGTCACTGTGACTAGGTGTCAGAAATCCCACTTAAGCCTATATTTCAGGGGCAAAGTCAATACTCTTAAAGACATTCTGTAACAGAATATAAAGCAGAGAAACTTGTTCTTACCGTTTCCTTTCACTTAATGCAACCAGTCAGATCTGCCTCGTGTGCAGGCAGAGAGGGCTCAGGTGCAAAAGAACTGGTATTTCTGTTTCTTGCTTCAAGTATTGATAGATGTGATTTAGCAGGGATAGGGTAGGAGTTAATGTAGTATTTAGCTCAACTTTGGATGGGAAAAATCACTGCCAAAACCTGTTACTACATTGATCAGAGTTGTGATCTCATTAGACTTTGGCTGGCGCTGGGAGCGTTTTATGTGACCATCCTGCGCAGGGGATGTGATCTGACTGCTTGGATGTGCTCGCCTGGTGGGGCACTCGTACCGCACTTCAAAGGCACTGACAGTGCCTTAGATTACTAGTTACCCATTTCAGTTTTCAGCATTTCTAAATTTAGTCAAGTCCTTTGTAATGGCTTAAAATGTTTGGTTTTTTTAACTTGGAGGTGTCTTTCTTAATATGCCAAAAAGCCAAGGAAAAACTTGTTAAAAAAACAAGTCACTCTTCCAAAGACTTGACTTTTTTTTTTTTTTTCAGCTAATGTGTCTTCTGTTTGTACAGTGGAGTGGGCATGGCTTAAAGATGCAGAACGCTTAGAATGCATGCAGTGGTGTCTGGGATTGCTTTGCCTGCTTGTGTTTAAGTAGGTTACTAAAATGGTTTTGGAAAAAGAAAAAAGGAACATGGAAAACCGAAATGATTTAATAATAAAGGAAAGATGATTAGTAACTATGCATTGCCCTTATCATCTTCAGAGTAATGGAAAGTAATCCCAGCTTCTTGCAAGCTGGCTCATCGCTGCAAGTTGCCTTCAATACTTTGACATAAATTTACACAAATGAAGATTAAGCTCAACAGTTTTAATTCTTGTAGTCCTCTCAAAACCGAGAGGAAGATGCAGGTTACAAGACAGAACATTCATCCAGGCTCTAGAGCAGTTGTTAGACAACTGTTTCTCATCACGAAACAGTCTCTTGGAGAAGTCAGCTCCTGGATTCTCTGTGATGAGAACTGGTAATTTGTTTTTAAGAGGCCCCTTGATTTTGTTAGTAATCCCTGGTATCATCTATAATGAATTAAGGAGCAGACTGGCTTTAAATAGCCCTTTGATATATTTTTATCTTCTGCATGATTATATCATTATACTTACTTACTTTGCTACTTCCTTAATTTCCAAGAAATTTTGCAGGTTTTAAAGACTCCTCAATTTCTGCTGTGGCTAAACTTCAAATCTTTGCAAATATGATTCAAACCTTTGTGTTAGTGTAATGACCTGGATTTCTTTTACCAGGTTCAGCTGTGGACTGGTGGGCCCTTGGAGTTTGTCTGTTTGAGTTTCTAACAGGAATTCCACCTTTTAATGATGAAACACCAACACAAGTCTTCCAAAATATTTTGAAAAGAGGTAATCTGTTTCAGTAATTGGGGAAAGTATGCATTTCTAATATTTGTTTTATGACTTGAGTTACTGACTCATCTGCATCTCTGTAGATATTCCCTGGCCTGAGGGTGAAGAAAAGCTGTCTGATAACGCCCAAAATGCAATAGATATTCTTCTAACAACAGACAGTACTAACAGAGCTGGACTGAAGGGTTAGTATTAAAATTCTCTTGTGGTCTTTGCAACTAACTTAAAAACTTCAAAGTAGTGATGTCCTTCTCCTGAAACTTAGACTAATAAATGTTAATGGCTATTTAAGTTTGTTTGTTTATTAAGATTATTAAGTTGAACTATTGTTTTGCATTTGACATCTGATGTACCAAACCTCACTCTTACCTAGTCCAGAAACAAATATTTGGGTCTTTGACCTGACTGTTTTTGGGAACCTTGATTAAAAGCCTCCTACAAAAGTTAATTCAATGCATCTTTTTCTTAGGAATCAGCCTGCCTTTACTGAATGTGTAGAACAGAGTTAGACAATATATACAAAGTCTCTCTATTCTGCCTGTGCTGTAAAGCAGCATTTGGCAGGAGACAACAGTATACAGAATTTAGGTTTGGCTTACTCCACCCTCTTTGGAGATGTGGGCTGGAGCTGACCGCCAGCTATGATACAAGTGTAATACTTTTGTGGAAAAGACCATGAAGTCTGCTCATGTTTGCAGCTGACAGCAGCTTTCAGCATGCAGGGTAGTTAAGGGCAGAACTCCACACAGTTCTGAGATGGTGGATCTGTGCAGTGTCCTGCTGCACGTATGGCTGCTGAAGCAATTTGGAGTTAAAGAATAACCCTCTGATTTATTGCCTTTTGTCTGAAAACCTTTAATATTGTGTTATATTATTTGATCAGGGAATGCAGAAATAGACAGCAAGACAATGACAGTTGTTTATCAGCTAAAAGCCTGTGGTATGTGTTTAAAATTAAAATTGGTAGTGAGTGTTTTTCTTGGTCCAACTTCCACCTCTTTCTAAATGCGATTATTTATTTATTTATTTATTTTTTACCTGTCCTGTTTTTTTGTTTGCTTTCAATTTTTGTGGTGCAGCTGATAAAATCATGGTTTTCTATCCCATTCAGCTGAAAAGGTGCCACTTTTATCAGGGAGTGGTGTTTGCAAGTTATGCAGAAGATGCAAAAGATCCTGTGTGCCAGGAACTCACCTTCTGGTCAGAACAGACAGGGCAAGGGAGTTCTTCAGTCAGAACAGTGTGCAGCTTGGTTAGTTATCCCATCTTCAGGGTGGGAAGCAGGAATCTGGTGGTGTGTGGTACTATTGTGTCCTGTGGTAGGCCAGAAGACTGCACAGAGCAGGGGAGGACTGCTTCATGAGCTAGCAAAATGTGGATGGCTTGGAGTGGAGAAGGGTGGGAGTGACTCCCACCTGTCTACTCTGCACAGATCTTTGGCAAAATTAGAAACAGACTTTGAGGCAACACATAAAATGTCAGTGGTGCCCTCTCATGAGAAACGCTCCTGGGGCACCTCTGACGCACCATGTGTGCTGTGTAGAATGGGCTCTCCAACTAGAGGAAGATGGTTGGTGGGCACAGTGATCGTGTGATCCCACTGAGGTTGGGGATAATCAAACCCCAGTTGCAGTTTCCACTTTTTGCTGTTTTGGAAATTCACAAAATAGATCAAATCTACTGACAGTTAGGCACCAAGGGAGCCAAGTGACTATGGGGCTTGGGCAAAATGGAGCTTATAATGCCTGTATGACATTCTGTTTCAGAACTGAAACATCACCCCCTCTTCCACGGCGTGGACTGGGATAACCTACAGAACCAAACCATGCCCTTCATACCTCAGCCAGACGACGAAACGGACACCTCTTACTTTGAAGCCAGGAATAATGCTCAGCACCTGACTGTGTCTGGATTTAGCTTATAGGATCAAGATAAGTGAACTTTCTTCATGTCTTTGCACACTTACAGATTGTCTTACAACACTAGTTTGGTCTTGACTGCGTTTCCTTGCCAAATTTATAATGTGTTTTAAGTTATCAGTCTGCTTTTATTATACTGTATCCTTCATTCTCAAGTGAAACTACTGTCCGAAGCTCAGCTGGTATCCAGTGCTTTTGTGCCAGGTTTTGTCTCCCTTACTGCACCTTACAAAGAGGCCACGGCGCTGGGTATCTGGGCACTAATGACACTTGGCACCGATGGGGCTTTTTTTAATAGCAATGAATAACTTCAGCTAGGTGTGAAGTCATTTCCCAGTTAAATGTAATAGGGGAAGGACACAAATTCATGCTAATTGTATCCAATTATAACTTATGTATTGCAAATTAACAGGCTGTTCTGTAACCTCACAACCAAATCATTTACAGAACTTCAGTTACAAATGTGCATTGAGTATTATAAATCCTAATTAGAGGGAAGTATTTAAATCTATTTTTAAATGCAACACAAGCTTGCATCTGCTAGGTTTGAGATGTATTTATGGGTAATTCTGTTTATATTATCTTCAGTATTTTTCTTACATAGGTATCTTTCTCAGCTGACTCACAGAAGATATTTCAGGCTTGTACTTGTTAGCTAAAGATCACTGGTGGTAGCTGGCAGTGCCAGCCAGTGGCTACATGCCAGAAGCCAGTGTTTTGCTAGTGATTTTTGACTAGTGGCTTTTGAGCCTCATAAACTGATCCTTCTTGCAGAGGGAGTGAGTTGTCCCTTCATTGCCCTGCTTCCTGGAAAACAAGATTCATTGATGGAATTCTGAGCAAACAGCAGCTGCTAGGTTTCCTGCTGTCCCCTCGGGCAGCTAGGAAGGCAATAGGAATGGTGGAAAAAAAGTTTCCTAGAAGGACCAAAAGAGAGAATTCTTAATGGCTCAGAATGACAAATCCCAGCTCTAGGTGTGGTAACTCAAACACAGTGAAACCGAAATCTTGGCAAGTTGTGGAGTATAAAGTGACTCTCACTCCCTTTGCTAAGGATTTCAGTTTCAGAAGACTCCTAAATCACTGAATCTTACTGAAATTGTTACATGAAAAAGGTACAATCAAATGTATCCATAGACAACAATATCTGAATGTGATGAGAAGTTCTTTACTGTTTTTTCCTTTGTATAGTTAGAATACAAACTGAGAGGAGTGTACCTTGATTTAAGTAATCACTGGTATTTTATGCAATTTATTATTCTATTTCTAGTAATCTGGTTTAAGAAAGCTGGTCCTACAAGAATGAATGTTTCATGCTGAGGAAAATATTCCATACGATATCCTAACACACTTTAGAACTGAACACCACAACAGCACTTTGTCTTCAGTATGTCACAAGTGGTTACAACCTGTTCCCATTTTGTGGTAGAATACATTCCCCTCAAGGTAGAAAATAAATTACACTTATGTGATGTTTTAAAGATAACCTCTAACCCCTTGAAATAATTCTTAATTGGCTGCAAGGGTCAAAAATTTGACTCTAACCTTTTTTTTTAACCAATCACAATGAACAAAACTACTTAAAAGTCTTAGGTAATCTCATGCTCATGTACATAGAGCTAAAGACAACAGCACACCAAAACATTACACATAGTCTTTTTAACTTTTACTAGGTTTGTTCTTATAAAAACCCCAAAACTTACAAGAATCTGATTCTAAATTAAAATTATGGTTCTTCTACCATATCTTTATGATGCAACACAAAACCATGAATTCTATAGAACAATAAATAGGCCAACTAACAAAACAGAACAATTCAGGTAAACAGTTATCCCTACACTGCTGTCCTGGCCCGTTCATTTCCCTGAAGACCTGCAACACCCCCTGTCTCCTGGATCCTGCCATTATCCTGGTTGTAGCAACCATGGAGCTGAATTTCACAAGTTGATGGCTGGGGTTTGCAGTGTGGTTCTGTTTGTGGGTTTGGGCTTCTGTGTGTTTTCTTAAAGATGGATCCTGGCTTTATTCTTCAGCATGGAATCCCTTGTCTACTCACAATCCCATTGGTTTTGCCTCACTTATTGCTTGAACTGACTACTACAGAGGAAAGTACAGAAAGCTATAATGTAGTAGCTGAAAGATATTTGCAGTTTCTTCTCATTAGTAATCAACTACAAAGATTTGTGTAAGCTGGCAAAAGCTTCTGGTCCTTAGAAGCTGTGGCAGTCCTCTAGCTCTTACATGGTGTGTCTTGAAGGCCTAAACTTTAAGTGCATAACCTACATACAGTGCTGTAGCTTCTCCTGGGAGACAGTTTATCTGCTATTGGCTTGACAGAAATGTGCTCAAAAACTGGGCAAATCAGTGACTGTTGCACTTTGTTATACAGAAATAGCAAGTCTTGGGCAACTGTTGCTCCCACTACCTTCTTGTTAGGCTTGTCCATCATTTTTGGAGGCCAAGGTACTGAAATGCTGCCATGGGTTATTCAGCCAAGTAGGTTCCAGTTTCAGCAAGATCAGGTTTATGTAGGTTACTTATATAGAAAAATTATTTTTTCCTCTCCAGTCTCAAAAACTTTACTTTGCAAACTTTTGTGTAATTATATAAAATAAAATACCACAGTCTTGCTATTGCTTGCTTCTGCATTTTTTTAATCTTTAAACTGTCATATTTGTTATTTTTTGTCATTGATGGGGGGTGGGAAGTGAATTTTTACACAAAGACAGCTACTGGAGGTAGGGAAGTACCTAGTACTTCTTAATCCAGGTGTGTAGACCCTTCAGTTTGTAACTTGCTGTCACCCTCCTGCAGTGGTCACTGCAGTCTCCACTTGCTGTGTTCATGCAGGACCAGAGCAGGGGGTAGACAGAGGGCCCTGAGAGTGGCCGAGGCCCACATGCACTGACCCCTGGCTCTGTTCTGGTTCTCTCAGCTCAGTACCTATCAGTACACAGATCATTTCCCTTCTGGCTTCACCCAGAGCAAACCTATGCTTTCCTGCAATGAATCAAACTTCCTCGAGCAACTAGATGGACATGTCTTTCAGAAGTGCAATTTTGAGCTGGGTCTAAATGTTTCCAGTACTGCTCTGACTGCCAGTCCTCCTGAGGAGTCCAAGAGCCAGGACACCATCTCCCAGTTCTGAGCTCCAGGGATCTGTTTATGCCATTTTCTCCAAGTTAAAGCTGTCTCTCTTTGTACCTGGGCAAATTATTTTTTAAAAAAAATCATTTTTCCCTTACCTTCAAGATGTAACCAGCAGGCTCTTCTATAGAGCCAAAGCATCCAGGGTACAGCACTTCCTTAAACATGAAGAAAGTTCAAGATAAAATACAAAATATTAAGGGACTGTTTTATTGAAACATGAATAAATAACAAGGAATGGCCCATGCCTACATTTATTTCATTGGGAAGTTAACAGTTTAGTACCTTTGGGAATGTCTGTACCATCTCTAAAAGCTAGATACCTACTTGTAACATGGTTATGGACTGGGGGAGGAGGCACTCCAGGGTGCTTCATCTTGGCAGAGGATGTGCTGCTTCAGGAGGTTTGATTCTTGTGGTTTAAAATGACCTTCAAGCTAGAGTGTCCTTCCTGCATTGTAATTCCTATCTGTTTATAAGTCAGTTACTCCAGGAACTTCAAGCTACAGGCACAACGGCTTCAGCTCACAGCAGAACTTCCCTTCCAGCAGAAGCTTTGTTCAAACCTGAGTTTTCAGCACCCTTCATGGTATGTGAAATCATTTGAGTGTTACAGCAATCTTCAAAGAGGTTCTGACCATTTTATTTTTTAATTCAGCTTTACAATCAGAAAATTGAAAGCAGGGAAAGCAACTCTTAAAAACTCCACACACTTAACTAAAGGCAAGATTAAAATGCTTTGGTAAAACAAATTAAATTTTGATTACATTTTTATACAGTATAGTTTGTAAGAAAAATGTTTCCTAAACTATAAAATATTTTCAAGAAGGACAAAAAAAACTTCTCAAAAAATTATTTGTAAGATGTAGTCCAGCTGGAAAATGAAAACGCATCAATAATATGGTGAAATTTCTAAAGATTCAGATCTTAATGTAACCTGTTCATGATGCAATTCTTTAATAGCAAATGCATGTTTTCGTTTTCCATCAAATCTTAGTGCATTTTCCCTTTCCAGAGATTTATAACATATATTAATTTATTTTAAAATTAAGTGTAAAACGTGCTTTAAGTCAAGCACACTTCACAAGGTTGTAACTCTCTGTAGATTGGTTAATAAATACTCTGTACAAAAAAAAAAAAAAAAAAAAAAACCAGCACTGAAGTTGGCTGAAAAGTAGAAGGATAAGAGAGAAAGAAATACCAGAACAGGTATTTTTCATAACATGACTTGGGAAAAGTCCACAACAGATTAGGGCTAGATTAAATCTTATTTTAATTTGATGTAGACTGACAACAGAAAAGTTCCAGTGCACTTACAGAGCTAGCTTTCCACCTCATTTTAGAGCACCTTGTGCCTAGACTGCATAAAGCAAGATGTTATCAACAAGAATACAATTATCAAAATTAAAATAAATGGTGCAGCCTCTTTAGATGGATCCTTTGTACCACATGGATTCCCGACTTGTATTTGACAGTCCCTCTGTTATAAAGGGCTCTAACTTTTAAGACACATGACAGTTCCCAAATCTCCTTTACAATCTTAAAGGATAACTGAAGGATTCAACTTCATGTCTGACCAGTCTGCATTTACTTTTCCCCACCCTGCTTTAGCAGCAAAGATAACCGGCTGAATTCCTCAGAGCTATGTTGTATTGTTCCAACAGCTGGCAAGGTATGGAATTCATACTTTATTAGTGCTTCCACCTAACCCTGTGGAGAAAGAGGCAGGAGATCTTATGATTGTAAATTCTCTCTACTGAAGTGACAGTTTAACATATTTTCACTTATTCTTTTACAAACATGATATTCTCTTCATAACCTGACATCAGCAAGACCAGTAATTACTGAAGGCCCATCCACAAACACATTCCAAAATAATTAATGTTTATATGGGTTTGAGGATGGAGTTATTAAATTTATTTGATTTGTAACCTAGGAGCTGTGAATCATTCAGATTTCAGTAATGTTAGTCCTTAGATGTTTAGCTCAAAGGTGGTACAAAATATTACTATAACAGCAGGAACATCATCCCAGATTCTGAGATTCTATGAGAATTCATAATTCCTTCGCTTTTTCAGGGCCATCTTCTCCCAGCAGTCTTTATGTAAAGTCATGAATTCTCAGTTCAGTTTTCTAGAAGAGGAACCAAATAAATTAGTTTCTTGTACCTTCATTTATGAGATCATTTTTTATTTGCCTAAATAATATTCACGGTTATATGTGATTTCCAACCTATCAGAACACACCACAGGTTCTAGATAGCTGAAAATATACCCTCTTGCGTTACAAAACAACCTGCAAGTTTACTGATCTGTCACAACTTGCACGGAGGGGTACAAAATACCACTACGAAATCTGAAGTGCAGATCAAATTCCACAGAACAGTCTCTGACCACATCAGTCAGTGATTTGCTGGCTCACAGCACAGCAACACTTATAAGCAGCTTTTCCAGTGATTCCAGAGACCCCATGCAATCAGAATATTTTTGAGAGCTGAATCTAAACAGCTCTCAGCTATTGTTAGAAATATGTTTCTAACTGTGAACTGGTTTGAGAAGCCCTTAGCATTCAGATTTTCAAGCCTTCTTTGGTGAAGGCTCCAATACAGGTACCCAGCTGTTCAGCATTAAGTATCCGATAAAGATCGGAGGCAGGTCAAGAGGCTCAGGAGAGCAGGTGAACCAGGCAGAACGCTGGGCAGCAGGGTGCTAGGAGTGAGCAGAGCTACCCCCTTCCCAGAGACACTACAACACTGTGGCTACACAAGGCCTTCTCTCCAGCCCTTCCATGGGATTCACTCCAGTGTGCAAGAGTTCAGGAGACAGGGCTCCACAGCTTCACGATGAGGAAAACACACAATAGCACAGACTCCTGGATTCTGCTCCAGAACACTTCATGTGTTTTAAAACCAAGATCCCTATATGCACAGTGCACAGCTGTTGCCTCAAAGCTTACGCACCAGTAGCTCTAAGTGCTCACTAACTGGCAATGGGACAACAGAGAAGGACTCTTGGTTTTGCAGTTCCATTTTCTCTCTGAGTGTACTCCATAAGCTTCCTACCTATTGCTCAAGAAGATGGAACTCTGGATGGAAAGGTGATGCAGAAGCAGATAGTCCTTAAATTCTGGCTATGGGTAGATTTCTTCAGAAACAACGAGGAAAGATGAAGAACACAAAGTTTTCTTCAGTGTTTTTGTTCTTGAAGTTCATCTCGTGCAATCCATGAGTGAGTGAACAAAATAAGGACTATCCGGGGCTATGCTATCTCTGTGAGCACAGCTATACTGCTATTCCCACTAGTAGACTGTGGTACAAATCCTGGTGTTCGGAACTCAAAGAGAATGTTGCTAAACTGTGGAGCATTCAGGAAAGAGCCACCAGAATCCATCCCAAGCCTGAAGAAGAATTTAAAATGAGATTCCAGTTACACCACCTGTTGTTTAAGCAAGAGAATAAGAGATGACCAGTGACACCAATAAAATACCCATGGACAACACATCACAGGCTCATTGTCAAGTAGGTAAAGATCTAGGAAAATCCAATGGATGAAAGCTGAAGCTAGACAAATCCAACTAAAAATAATGTACCATTTGTTTATTCATTTAAGCTCTGCATCATTAGAACAATGCATTAGAAAAACTGCTGAAAAAGGTGCTGTTCTAGAAACTGTTTTCTGACTGAACATCTGAATTGATTGAGGGTACTACAGAGGTCAGAACAGATGATGAAAAAAGGCTTACAAGAACACCACACTGTTCAGAGGGAGAATGTGACCATTCAAGAGTTATTAGCTAAATAACACTAAAGTTCATAGGAGCTTCACAGAAGATAATAAAAAAAAAAAAAAAAAAAATTGTATTGATTTTAAAAAACTTTGTACTCGCTAGTGAAATGGAAATTTCCATTTACCAGTGCAGAAAATAAGGAAGACTTGTGTAACTGCCTAAAGCCTTAGCAAAGAAATCTCCAGTTTCATCAGACAGCACAAGGACTACCACGGCTGCTCCTGAGAGCTCTGGGACAGGTAACTCCCTGGCAGACCTGCGGCCTTCGCGGGCACTGTGTTGTTTACCACACCCTGGGCCGGGCCAGGCCTGGTGGGTGGTGATCAGCAACGTAAGGCCAGTAATGAGCAGTGCCAGGGGTCAGTACTGGCTCCAGTCACGTCTGATATCTTTACTGATAACCTGGAAGATGGGGCAGAGTGCACACTCAGCAAGTTTGCAGATGAAACTGGGAGGAGTGGCTGAGGTGCCAGAGGGTGGTGCTGTCATCCAGAGGGACCTCAACAGGATGGAAAGACGTGCTGACAGGACCCTCATGAAGTACAACAAGGGGAAAATGCCAAGTCCAGCACCTGAGGGAGGACAGCTCCAGCCACCGCTACATGCTGGGGCCTGCCCAGCTGGAAAGCAGCTTGGCAGAAAAGGAGAGCTCCTAGAACATGAGCCAGCAAAGTGCCTTTGCAGCAAAGAAGACAAACGGTATTGTGGGCTGCATTATGCCTCGCAGCAGGTCAAGTGAGATGTTCTTTTCCCTCTACTCAGCACTGGGCAGGAGACACCTGTAGTACTGTGTCCAGTTCTGCGTACAAGAGAGACACAAACATCCTGGAGAGAGTCCAACAAAGGGCCACGGACATGGTTAAAAGGTTGCAGCAACTCTCCTATAAGGAGAGATGAACACTGGCACAGACTGCCCAGAAAGGCTGTGGGCTTTTTCTCCTTGGAGATATTCAAAAGCAATCTGGACACGGTCCTGGACAACTGGATCTAGAGGTCCCTGCTTGAGCAGGAGGGTTGGACCAGATGACCTTCAGAGGTGCCTTCTGACTTCAACCATTCTGTTTCTGTGATTTACCATATGAGAGAAAACTATACCATGAGAACTGTCAGACGTTAAAGCTAGAACAAGTTAAGCTAATTGTTGTAGGACCTACACATATGCAAACACTCTGTTACCTTAGCAAGCTTTTTTTTCCCCTGTCAGTTTGCAAAGTCAGGTGTGAGCCAGAAGTAAGTAGAGAGCAACTAGAGAACATTCACATGATCTTCTGATGCTTGGAGAGTTTAGAAAACGTAAGAGAAGAGTACAACTGTCCTTCAGATGAAGGACGTCAAAGCAGACATTACAAAAAATATCCCAGTAAGGTGCTAGTAAAGAAACAGGTGACAGATGTGACTTTGCAAATTATTTGATAGGAAAAATTTTCTCATGACACAAGGGGACTAGGGAATCTGGAAGCAGTGAAAATGGATCAAGAGAATATTGGGAGTGAGAGGGTCAAAAAATGTCATGGAGACACTTCCACACTATCCAGCCTCACCCACTTGTGTATGCTCACTGAAATTATTAATCCTGCATTACACTTCACGGATTTAACACAAATTGCCACCTATAACGCAAACCATATGTAAAGTCAAATTAACTAATACTTCCTTATGCTGAGAAACTTTCAAGGCAAAGAGAACCATGCACATCTCTTCCTAGAATTCCCAGCTAATGGTAAGCACTCCTGTTAGATTCCAGAATTTCCTGTTGCACATTTGGCTTGAGTTATGGGGACTGAAACACGGACCTTCCTATCATTACCTCACCAAGGATTCTACTGTACAATCTGCTTTCTGGTGGCCTCAAAGCCATGAGTCACTCATACGTACAACGAAACGTTAGCAAGACGTCTCTTGAAAAGAGAACTTGAGGAAACAGGACTTAAAGCAATTATTGTCAAGCTCCCCATTTTGATACTGACCTGACGTTTCAGATACACTGTCAAAGCCCTGCTGAGAGCACACCCTTGCATTCCTCTTACAGATGAAGGCAGTGGTTTAGGTCCTGTCTAAATAACACAAGGTACTAACGCTGGTTTAAGCGGATGACGTACAGTATATATGCCCCATTGAACACGGGTCTTTACCTTCGCTTTCTTTGAAGATACACATGTACCAACCACTGGGCAACAAATGGCCATACAACAGCAAAAGCTAAAATACCAGGAGAAATTTCAAAGGGCCACCATGCTGGTTTCTAAGGAAAACAGAAGAAAATTCTCATCAGCAATGTGTATCCTTTTACGGAATACCCACATGTGTGCTTCTCACTCATTGCAAAGGCTAGAGTATCAAAGCAGAAAATACTAGTAAGACCATAAAAGAAGATTAATGTGTGAACTTCTTCAGACACATTATTTTTCATCTAGTCAAGAGAGAGACAATACAAAAAACACAGACTAAAAGCTAGATATAAAATATTAATCTCATCTTTTTTTCACTATTCAAACCGCGTTTTACAAATAGAAAAAAAAACAGTATTTTACCTTGGCAGAGGAGTCAGGCTGATAATTTGACTGTAGTGTTGCAGATTTTGCCTTTAAATACAAAAAGAAAGGCTGGTAAGTATAAAAAGGGAACACACAGTTAAAGTTTTTCTGCTTCACACAATAAGAATATGAAGTTTTCCATCTTGTGAAGGCTGCTGTGCCATCTGTATATATAGATGACAGTTTAAGGCACAGAATCACCCCCATGCAACCCTCTTTTCACCATGTAATTTCCAACTTACCTCTCACATTTCCATTACTCTTTATAACATTTTTATTTTATGTTAAAAAAATGAATCAGCATCACTTACTGGACCTCTTTACTGTTTTTCAAGGTCCCCCTGCCCAACCTGTCATTGCAACTTGCTCAACTCTGGTCCAGTCCCAACAGCTGCATGCCAGAGAAGAAATCCCAGCAGCCTAATTTGCATGATGCCATCTTTCAGCACTAGTCCACGCAAAGTCAAAAAGCACCACTTTAATCTGCCCTGAGTGGCAGCTACCAGCATGTCTAACAGCATAAAGGAAAGACGATACCCTCTCCCAAATCTTCCAGGCAATCCAGAAAATGAGAAATACAAGCAACTTTTCAAAACTATTCCCACACACTATTGTGGTGCTTCCACAAAAACAAAGTTTTCTAGGTCTTTCTTAATTTATGCAAGTGTGAAACAGAACTTTCTGTTTCTCTTTAGTTAAGGGTAGCAAGTACAGCATGAACTGCTGGGGAAGAATCTTTTGCTATTTCAACATATATTGCTCAGGAAAAAAAATAAAAGAAAGCCAATCTGTATCCAAACAATGGATCCTTGAATAGCTGTGATGAAGCAAGGTCATGGTTTTACTAAATCCTTCTCTGGCTGCCTCAGATTTGGAGTATGTGCATCCCATATGATACTGCCTGTATAGCTCTCATTCTTAGGTAGATCAAAATCTATCAGCAAGTCAAACAAAACCAACCAACCATTTTTAGGTTGCTGGTTCAACTACACTCACAGTGTATTCTGTTCTCCCACATATACAGCCTTTGCATGGAAACAGACAGGAAAAGAAACAGCGCATCAATAAATATCTACACTTGCTTGAGACTTCTGTTGCCTATCTTGTATACATGATGTGAAATCCCAAGAATGCTGGATTACTTTGCAGGGAAAGAATGCTGTGAAGAATCAGTGTTCTGGTAACTAAAAAATGAGATCCAAAGTTCAGCCTGCAAACATTCACCAGTCTGGAAGATTAAAATAATTTCTTATTTCCTTTGAAGATGCTTTGAGATCTACTGATGAAGCAATGAGTTGGGATCACGTATTACTACCATTAACTATAGAATCTCCATATAGTGACTGTGTATTGTTTATCAGTAATTATGGCTGAGATTAGTCCGACTCAAAATCACCAAAAAAAATATATGGTTAGTTTCTAGATCAAAATGCATGGTTTTGCTCATATGTACAAGAGCCCTGAATGGTGTTCCTGAGAGTAAGTACCCATAAGAAATTTTAAGTTGGAATAAACTACAGAATATCACTGAAATGACTTCACAGCTTAAGAAAATATTATATGAACAAGCATAAAAATATCCAAGAAAATGTAATAAAAAGTAATCAAATAACTTCAACAACTAATACCTGCGATGCCGTAACAGCCTCCAGCATGTGCAACCTCTGAAGGACGTTCTGCATGTCTTCTTGCAACCGCATCAGCACCACTGCAATCTGCTCGTTGAGGCTGCCCCTGGGTCCTCTGTCTGATCCCCAGCGGTCTCCATCCCCTCCACTACCCATCTGTCCACCTTGGGAACCATCTCCTAGAGGCTGAAGTCTATGTCCTATTTTGGAAGACAGGGAAAAAAAATAGAGACATAAACCACAGAATGGGCTGTGGACTCCACTGAAAATGTTTGATTTTAACAGTTTAGTTCTCTGCCTACTGAACCGAGTGTGGTGCTCCTAATCACGGGCTACATTCAGGCACTTCAAAAGCACAGGGAGGTTACTGGAACATCATTTGAGATGTTTCCCTCCATACTCAGTGTGACAGTATCATTTAAGGTCCTAGAACTGCACAGACATTTATTAAAAAATCGTTAATTCACATCTAGTTAAGTTCAGCCATAAATTCCACCCTAGCAAAAAGAAAGTAAGATCTGTCTTATTATCAAGGGTAGGTGTGTCTTAAGTCAGGCACAGTCTCCAACTGGAAAACAAAGCACAGTGGAATAGAGTGACGAGGCAAGACAATTGTTTGAAGCCCACAACAGTCCTTTAAACTATACACAGCGAGACAATCGTGTTTCCACCTGCAAGTAGTAAATGCAAGGAAAACTACAAAGGAGACAAGTGGAGATGTTTAAACTAGAGCGCATTCTTTGTAATATTTCTCAATAGATATGTTATTTGTATTTTCTTTTTAATTTTTGCATCTGATGACACACAGGTGTCATATAAAGAGGCATACTATACATACATAAAATAGTTTCTGGGTTTGGTTTGGGTTTAGTACATGAAAAAAAAATTTATCCTTGGCTTTACAGACCCTACCACTGGAATATGGTGCTGCTCCTAGGTGACAGTTCTCAAACTATTATGGAGTTAAAAAGGCAGAGATCCAACATAAATTGAACATCTGGACTATTATATAATTAAGAATCATCAAATTTTAAGAATCATAGTGGGTAGTACCAGAATCACTCAAAGGTGTGGTTAACACTCCAATTACATAGAAGCCAATAGCTTTCCAAGATGTTCCATACTTTCAATAAGACACCATAGAAGTATAAATGCATATGCATTTGAAAATAAATATGTAACTTGTACAGAAACTCTTCTTATGCACAGATAGGTTCTGAAGATTACATTTCTGGAAAGACAGGTGCCATAAACAGCAGCTGGAGTTTAAGGTAAGCCAAACCAGAAGAAGCCAATACGCTTAATGCAAGATCTCCATAGCACAAGAAAATCCTTTTGTAATACTTATTATGAATGAAGCAAATACTCTGAAGACAAAAGTGACTGCTCCCCACTGTCATTAGGATTTTGTTATCTATTTTTATTGTGAAGGTCAGAAGCATTATATGGCATGACTGTCTTACTGGACAAGGGCTTCTTGGGCACCTGTAACTGAAGACATTCAGGAGAGTGGGGAACACAAAAGCAACATGCACAGTACCTCTCCCTCTTCTGACACTGTAGAAATCTGCTTTTTCTCCACCCTTCTTCTCCTTGTGAGGGCCACCATTACTGGCTTTGCCATCTTCTCCTCCACACTTGACTTCGCCCTGTTCTTGAGCTGCTGCCTCTACAGTATTTCCAGGCTGGAGATTCTCAGAAGTCACGCAAGCGCGCCTTGGAAAATCCGTATTTTCTAACAGAAAACTGGGATCTACATCCAAGAAATGGGATGAATGCTTTAAAGATCCTTTAGCTGATGTGATGATCTCCAAGGGCTACAAATTAACATTAGCAAGTAATTAAATTCTGTAAAATGTGACAGTTAACCAATAGAAAGGAAGAAGCATCTTATTTCACTTTAAGAAACCAGTTTGCCCAGGACTGAAACATGTAACAGGAACAGTTGTTTTCCTGTACAATATGCTCACTATTGTCTAAATGTCCTTTTCAGATTGAAAAGGCATGAGGCAAATATTCTCAAGCCAGTGATACCACTTGGAATTACTTTAGACATTTCCAACATAGAGTAATACCCAGTAATCACTAAAATAGAACATGAAGATCTGCAAACATTCAGTTTTCCCTTATAAAATTGGCCTTGCTTCTGAGACAGTGAAGTGGTATCCCAACTGGGATGCATGAGTCACTGTCAAAAGTCACATGCTATCAGCAACCTCGAGTAGGCAGTGTTTACACTCAGGGCAAAGAGAGCACATTCCTTATTATCAACCTGCTCAAAACAGCCTGGCTGCCCCCAGTACCTCCCACCAAACAAAAAAAGGGCACAGCATTCTATCAGCTTCTCACTCGCAATCGGTGCTACCGTGGGGAGATATTACAAATGGATGACATGTGTGTTCATCAGGTCACCATTACACGTTCTGCAACACGTTTAACCCAAAAGAAGGGGCAAAGAAATGGCCACTGCTGCCAAAATCCCATTTGTCAAATAGTTCATAAACCTGTATCATCAGACCCGAAGGACAGAGTGTTGGCTACATTTTTTGAATAAAAAGCTCCATTTAATTCTTTAAATGAACCTCTTCTAGTTTGAATGGATTCATCTGTAATTCTACTTGTATATTTATTTACATATGCCTGAACATTTGTTATTTTTTTAAAACTAGCTTCTCACGCAGATTGGGAAATTCTGACAAGTTATCCACCCACTTCAATTAAAGAACCTTGCTCAAACGATACACAAGATGATTGGGAAATCACTTAGATAAGAGAGCTTTCAACACTCCTACCAACTCCACGCTCCCCAACATGCTTCACTACTTGCTAAAATTTTGATTTGCTAAAAGGAATTCTTTATATCCTGAGGAAACAGCTAGACAAGAGAATGATACAATATTAGAGAGCTTACTAGTCTTTCTGATGCCATGTATCATTCATATATTCCTCCTCAAAATCAGGAAACTAGGTGTTTGAGTACAATCTACAAAGTCCACACTGAAATTGAGGTCTGAGCCAGCAAGTCAGCTAAGACTACAGTTAATGCAATGAGGAGGAGCACAAATTCAGCCAAAACTAAACCAGCACAGCTGGTGCCCACCTTTTATATGGAAGTCAGAGAAGGCTGCAGAGAGCACAAGGGAATTCAGAAATCACTGTGATCTCCCACTTCTTCAGACCTTGGCCACTTTCAGGCTCTGGCTGACAGGCCGCCTGCTAAGGCTTACTCTATTTTTTTCAAAGATACTCTTTACTTATTCTAAGAAACACATGCAGGACTCAGCAGGGCAGAAAGAGAGCACACAAAAGGCTCATTGATACAAAGATACTCCTTGCTTCTTCGAGATAGCTGGATTCTGGTTCCTACATATGAGACTCTAAATTAATTTATGGACTTAGTTTCTTTGTACTGCTGTTTTTGATACCTTCCCCTCATAAGTTCTCTAAGGGGAAAAATGTCAAGGCTTTTAGATCAGTAGTAACCTAGTTGTAAAAGACTGACAACAAAAAGAACAAAACCCAATAGTCTAAACAGGATAAAGGTACACATGAGTTACTTCATTGACCTCTGCCTGTCCAGGTTCACCTGATAGATAGGAACCTACTGAAAAATAAGCATATAAGTTTCCAAACACACCTAGGAATAGGAAGCCCCTACCTCTTCTAGTCCAAGTTGCTCCATAGAGTCACAGTAAACTTCACTGTCTGAATCACTGGTTAAGTGCTGAGTTGCTGAGACCTCTTCAGTATTCTCTTCATTTGCACCTGTATGGAAAGGAGACAAGCACACGTGCTTTGTAAATATGAGCCAATATTGGCAAAGAGTAAAGCAATGAGTTAAAATGTCAAGCTGAGCTTCAACTCATCCACCTTTTACCTACAAATGTCATCCTAAAGTTACATTCTCAATAAAGAGGTTATATTAATATAGGAACGATCTAAAACTCCTACTAATGGGAAAATTATACCTCATATTGGCATTTCTGCATTATAATTCAATAATTTTCATTTTTACCTTGTTCATTCCATTCTTCTTCCTCAGCATAAAGCAGTTTTGCCTAAAGTTATCTGTTGTTTTAAGAATTACACATTTAGACATCAGTTTCAACAAACTGGCATTTATAGTATGTTCAGCCCTTGAGAATGACAAATAAGATAGTATTGATTTTCATTTCACTACAAAATACCTTTCAAAGGCAAATAGTATTTGCATAGGTAATATAATGAATTTAAAAGAAAACAATTGTAATTCTGTGGGCTTGTGCCTCTCTGCCCCTGAATTAATCCTTTGTTCTGTAGGAGATCCTAAAAGAAAGCCTTACTTTAAACTGGTGTTAATTTTTTTTTTTTTTTTTTTTTTGCATTCTTTCTTCAGTTTTCTACAACTGAAAACACCATTGCTAGTCTCTGAATCCCAGGATTAAGCTTTCAAGAAAAGGAATACTTTCCATGAAAAATGTGTACAAAGGAAAACATGGTCTGCCAAGGACAATACCTTGGTGAGCACCATTATTAGCTATTTCTAGGCTTTGCTCCATTTTCTTTATTTCCTCCTCTGGGTTCAAGCCATTCAGGGCAGATTTGGTCTGGATGCCGTTCTGTGTATCTGGGGTAAAGCTGTCCTCGTGACAGCCATTAGTAACAACACTTTCCAAATCTTTAGCAGCAGCTGACTCATGTTTCACATTCTCATAGTCTGTAAAAGAACAAGAAAACCTTGTAAACAGAAAGCTATGCACCTCATAGCTCAAAACATGTTTCTTCCAAGTAGTTAACTTCCTAATGGACTGTATGTATAATGTATCTGCAGAACAAAATACGTAAATGCTCCTAGATTCACATTTGCAGGGATTGTTCTGTTCTTGTAAAAAGTGTAAATCTCAAATACAATTTGAATAAAGAGCAGGTAGTATTTAAAACATAAGTAAGCAAATTCAAAGTAGGTGTGTCTGATAAATTAAATAATAATCCTAATGTCCTTGGAGGAAAAAGACTGTATATATTTCTAAACATGCAAATTCATTTTTCACCTGATGCTGATATTTCTCCAATCTCTTCATGGACCCCCTAAACAAATTTCACTGTAAGTTCTGTTCTATTTTCTCTGAAGAAAGAAAAAAGTTATTTCCAGTTCTACTGTTACAGCCCACATAGCCATGCACAGCTCTTACAATGGCACTGGCAACAAAACCCAAAACAATAAAGAATATAAGACTTTTAGCTAACCTACCAACAGAACTTTCTAGGTGACTCAAAAACTGTATGGCATAGCTCACTCGTTTTTACTAGTTCCAGATATTATAACCCAGGTTGAGACACTGCCATTTTTCATACAAGCATCCAGGTGTATTTGCATCTAATTCTCCTTAGATACAAGACTCGTGCTCCTTTGTGATTTTCCGCCATGCTGAAGTGGCTGACACTGGAAGATGCAACTAGCCAAGTGCAGGAAACGTACCCTTTCCGTTCAGCTGCCGCTGTTTTTCTTCCTCCTCACGAAGCCCTTCTTCTTCTGATTCCGCTCCGCTATCACTACTTTCAGCTTTTCCATTCACAGCCTTTATATTTGGAGTAGAATTCATGACGTTACTAAGGTCTAAGAAAAAAAAAAAAAAAAACAACAAAACCCCCCGTATTTTTAAAGAAACAAACGTACGCATCACCCCTGCCTTAAACTACTAGCCATAGTTCTACAAAAGTATTTCCATATTGGAAGGTGTTCCAAGTGATGCCAGCTTTACTTCTCTAAGCTCTTCCTTAACTGGTTCAATGTTCCTCTTTTGTGGCTCACCACAGAGTGCCTGACTACTGGGGTGAAGAGATTCTCAGGAATCCTGCTGCAAAGAGACAGCAGGCCACTTTCACTATTGAGAGTCAGACCAAAACTATCACCCATATTTATGGTGTAAGCTGCAGTAGCATTTTATCTAGGACCAGTGTGGCCATGTTCTTTCAAATCCAGAAGTCACCATTTTTATAGAAGTTTTCTTTTGGGCTGAAATGCTTCAAAACTGTTCTCAACTCAAAGGCAAATTTCAGAACACTTTATTCTATTATATGAGCAACAGGATTCTCATAGGACAAGGTAAATACAACATCCCATGCACGTTCTCCTGCAGCAATTTAAGCAGACACAAAATGTTGTAAGAAGACTCAAACTTATACAGATCTTCTTCTGGCAAAAGGCATACAGAAACAAATTCTGATTTCAGTGGAAAAAAAATTTAATATGCTGTGCATTTGCTTGCATGTTTAATTATACAAATATATTTTTCAGTCTTGAAATAGACAAAGTAATTGCTAATTCCTTGTTTTCCACAACTTTGTTCAGTCCAAGGATCACAAGCAATTTACTCTGACTGGATGAAGAATTACAAGGTAAAGATTCTTAAAAAATATGGAAAATTTAAGGGACAATTTACCACCTCTTGTAAAAAAAGATACGGTTAAATACGTCCTGATGATCATTTAAGCCTCCTCTGTTAGAATAGAGTGAGTAAGGTACAAAGAGGGGACTCCTGCTCTGAAACACTTGCACATTTTACGTGCTGACTCCCAAGACTAAAATCCGTCTGTTTTAATTGTCACCACAGCATTCCATTTGCATAATTTCTACATTCCCGTGACAGAACTTTGAAAGATTCATTCTTATATTTAGGTTTAACACTGAACAGCAAAATAATATCCAATTATACTGGAGTTCCCAAACCAGCTCTGCTACTTTCTTTGCTGCATGGCAATTTAGAGTTACGAGTTTTCTGCTTTAATCTTGCAATGAAGAGTCTTCCCACATTCCTCTAATTTCAAAGCTTATCCATAGTGCTTTAAAAAAAAAAAAAAAAGCAAAATAACTTCCTGTATAGAAATAATGAATATGTTAGATATCCTGTTCACCCTAGTTTTACTGTAAAGTAAGGTTCCTGTGGGCACCCTCCATCACTGCTTTGGATTGATTTAATCCAACTTTTATGTGAAGATTAAAAAATGCGCTTCTTTATTGTAAAAAAAGAGAATTTGAAAAGCTATTGTCTGTCTTACAGACTGTAAGTATATAAACAATCATGTGCCCATTTTCTCCTCACTGAAGAGCACTTCTTATTTGCAAGGAAATCTCTTTCACAAAAGAAAAATCCCAACATGCTTCCAGTTTACTTCTCATAAGCATGTTTAATGTATTGTGCAATCCAATTCTTGAGACGTTTTTCTGTGAAGCAGCAGTGTGAGGAGGATAAGCTACCAGTTAAGTTCTCACAGCAGGATCATTAAGCGCAGACACAGCTCCCTTGGCAAGGCAAGGCAGGCATTACCCTTTCCTTTGAAACAAAAAGGGGGTGGAGGCACAATCACCCATGGGTTCTACTCAGTTGTGGGAGTAAATAGAAAAGACAAGACAAGGAGGAACATTTAACTGTGAAGGAAGGCGAATTAAAACTAAACTCCTCAGGTTACTAAAGCTCAAGCTATACTATAAGCTTTTTTATTAAGATTTATTTTTTTTCTTTCTGAAATGAAGGTCTTTGAATATTGAATATTCTTCTCTCTTCACTTAATTTCAGTAAAGACATACATTTGGGGAAACTTCTAAGTGATACATCACATATACTTAAATAAAGAGGTGGAACTGAGGGGTATCAACAGTAACAGATTGATGGTATCATGCCATAGTATACACGAATAACTGAAACCCATCAAATTATTTCTTCCATAAAGTCACCCTTAGCAAGTGCTCCCAAAAACCATAAAGTGGCATTGCTTTGATGCTGACTGTGAAGAGCACAGCACTGTGTGGAGTTCTGGCCACCTCAAATGCCATATTTAATTGTGTATTTTTTTCCTCAGAACGTTTACACTGCTATCCTCACCAGGTCCACCCCCAATTGCTTTAACTACATGGTAAAACCATGTTTTGCTGCCATCCTCCTTGATACTCTTGAGTATCTGCTAAGAAACCAGCAACGATGAGTAATATCAGGGGTGATGGGGTAAAAGACTAAACAGAGCCAACTACTAGTGACTTCTACAGTCCCTCTTGGTAGGTCAATAGCTACTTCCTGAGGAATGTATCTTTAAATATGCGTAAGAGCCAAGCACATTTTTATAAACCTTATTTGCTTTGTGCTAATCCCATCCATCCCTCCCTCCCTCCCTCCCCCCCCTTTTTATTCTGTTTACCCACTTCAACTGCAGGCAAACTGTTAGCAGCTTTCTTTGTTGCCTTTGGTTAGGTATTATAGAATTCCTCTTGATTTATTATTTTCATCTCACTGCCTACAATGCCAAACTGTAAGATTTGTGAGTTTTATAAATCAAAGCTGTATTGCTTTGTAGCAGTACAGGGAGCTATATTCTACTGTAAAAGCCTGGGCTGTTTTCATTTTGAAAGCTATATAGTAAGAGCTGCATAACAGTAACAATATACAAAGAGAAGGAAGGAGGATTTAACAAAAGAAAAAGCTGAGATGGAAAGGGTATGAAGAACAGACACACAGCCTCTCTGTAAGTTCTCAGCAGACATTTATTTTGTGTCAGTTCTGTTAAGAGATTCCTTAAGAGCAATTCTAAACGTATTTCTTTAAAGGCAACACTACAATTCTTCTCAACTCCCTGTAAAACGGCCAAGTTTCTCAAAATACGTATTTGATTTCTAACTCCCCACATATTTCAAGGCAATTTGTTACCCAGATGGGAGTTTTTGAAGCTTAAATGCCTCTGTGGATCTGCCCCAGCTCAAGGGTCATTTTACAGCAAAAACCTAGCCTATCAGGTTTTTCTCAAATGACCTGTATTTTTGGTTTTCTGAACAGGCATGTAATTATTGTACACAACTAGCACACACTGCTGGAGCTGTACTGATGGTTGGCCCAGCACAATCCAGTATCATCACACAAGTCCCACCAGCCACTTTCATGCTTTGCAAATACCAGTGACCAGGAAACACTCTACAACAGCAGGTGAAACACATCATAAAACATTTAACCAGCAGTGTACACCCTCATAATTTAATAAACAACATGTGCTTTTGTAAAATACCATAACTTTACTATCTGCTCAACAACATGAAAATCTTACACACTGGAAGATTATTTCCAGGACGTACATTAAATAGGGATCTCTGAACTCCTACGTTTAAGCAGATTCAAGTTTCATCAAAATTAAGTCTCAGAGAGCTGTATGCTGTACACTATTGTTTTGATAATCAGGTAACTACAATTCTTTTCTTGCATCACAATGTGATGTTTCATGCTTGCTACTGATCCAAGTAGGCTCCCTGCTTCAATTCCAAGTTTACGCAACCATGTTCTGCCAGTTCCAATACCCTCAGTTACACAAATCTCCACCTCCTTCTGGGAACACATATCCCAGTGCCGCAAGGGGTGCACTGCAAGGGGTGACTGAAGTGAGAAAGGAGGGGTACATGCAAGCATCTGGGAGCAATAAGCTCTTCAGCTAGAAGAAGAAGAGTTTCTATACACTCATTTCCTTCCATTCTTTTTAATGTAACACACCACAAAGAAAGTTTCCAGAGGCCCAGCCTGCTCTGTAACATCTGCTCTACACTACTCAAGCAAGCTGCCATCACAAATAGAGATTTTAGAAAGGTCCATCAAAATCAGAGACAAAAAATTATGAAATTTCTCACTTTCAGTACCACTGGTTTATTACTTTCAATTAAGTGCATTAAGTGTAAGTTCTCTGGAAAACGTATTCCCTAAACACACAGATTGTGGAAGTCAGATCTTCCTCTATACAGTTTTCCTTTTTCATTGTTTAGTCCTCCTAAATTTTACTATAACAGAGAAAAAGCAGCCTCTTCTCATTGTTCTTCTAATATACTCCAAAAGACTACAGCCTTGTTTTCTCAACATTCCTCTCTCTGCTCATGTGCTTTTCAAGCTGTTGCACTCAAAGAGATGCCACTGTATTTCAAAAAACAATTTCATCAAAAATATCCTTGCCTTTATTAACCATATAAAAACATCAAAAGAATAGTTTGTGGATAAGAATGAACACAGACAATAGCAGCTTCTTATTTACATTAACTTCCAAGAATGGTATTCAGGATTATTGACTAGTTATCCTGGATCTTCACACTTCTCTTTCCAATATCTACAGAGAGTTCCTTACCTTCATCCATGTCATTAGTACCCATTCCCCTGAAATTTCAGAATACTTTCCGTATAAGTAAGGTTATCAAGTTTTTGGGTTGACTTAGATACATTTCCCTTCTCCCAGTAGGGACAGCCTGCCTGGGATTTCCTGACTGAGAGCAGCCCAGGGAGAACAGCAGCTGCCCACAGGGATTCCCAGCTTTGGCAGGTGCTTCCACGAGCAGGACTTGCTAAGCTCTCTTCTGTGTAGAGGAGATACAGTCAGCATTTGGAACCTTTACTTCGCGTGGCAAGAGCATTACACTCTTGAGTTTTGTCCCAGAAACCAGAAAATACAAAACATGAATGTACTGGACTCAGAACCCCATGAAGAAAATTGAACTATGCATGAAAGCAACAGTAAGCCATATTGCTGAGTCACCTACAGCCCAGAAACTTCAGAAACTTTTCCCTGATAGCCTGAGTAAGAATTTGGTTTGCACTGTAC